TTTGTCACTAAATCCATATTCTATGACCTTTCGTTTTGTTTTGATGGAATATTCATCTGTAGAATGAAATCCATCGCCATCTATATCAGAACCACTATGTTTAGAGAGATTCGACGAAGACGGATTCTTTAATGAACCAAGTAATAAGGAGAAAGATGCTGATGGTGTTGGCGCATGAAACTCCGAAACAGGAGTTACAGGAGCCGATTGTGATGATTGCCGTTTTCTATCATAACGCAATATTGACAATTCATTTAAATATCCTTGCGAACTAATAAAAAATGAAGATATTGAATGAAGTCCATCTATCAAGTACGTTAAAAAATAATGCTTAACAAGCCACAAGATTCTAAATACCTCAATGTAAAAGCAATAATGGAACTTGGTTCATCTTCTCTGGTTATAATAGGCGACTCAGGAAAAACATGACATGTATCGGAACTATTTAAATAAATAAATCTTAGTATTTAATAAATAATGAATGCATATTAAATATTAAATAAAATGAAAAAGGATACCTTGAATATTCCGGTTCTGTCCATTTGATTTCATCAAATTTTGCTAGATCTGATTCAACGATATTTTCCTTTTGCCATTGCAACATTCGTTTTTTTGTCACGTTAATCCGATCAACTAAACTTCGTCGAACATTATTCAGAACTGTTGCATTTGTTTTTTTCAACATATCATAGAGTTTGAATTCATCTTCATAAAAACTCTTTGTCAGTTCATCTAATGTTCGAATTGCATGAATAGTTTTTTCGGACACAGCGGCTTCGACATTGCTGTTGGTTTGTTCTATATGCAAAGATCGAAGATAATCTTCCAATGAAGTAATATGTTGTTTTAATGAAAGATAAAAATATGTAATTTCCAATCTAGTTTCATTATATAACCTTTGTGCATCTTCATAATCAATAATGAAAAGTTTTTCGACATCTTCTACCGAAGACGCAGCTTGCTTATCTAGAGATATTTGAACTTTTGGCAATCGCATTTCAAAAAGGTCTACATGTTCATATTCTATTTTTACAACAAAATTTCCTTTACGAAAGCATCGAAGCAATGGATCACGTAATTCAACGTGCGAACATAAATCTTTGCAGATGAAATCTTCGTTATAATATAATAATTCGAGGTATTTGGCAAAAGAGTAAAGGTATGTCGAACGCGACATAATAAATATAGGTGATTTTGCAGAACATAACTTGCATTGAGTCCACATAACAATTTTATTAGTGAAAACTTCCAAATTAGGATCTGGAGATGATTCTTCAACGATAATTCTTATTCTTCCATTGTTATGTG